GTTAGCCTCTCCAACTCCGACCAATGTCTTACAAGAGGAGTAGAGTCCTCAAGAACTATTTGTGGGGCGACAATTTGAAGGGGAAGGATCCATTGGGCAACTCAGTAGGCACAATGGGCGGATTTCCATAATCAGCCCAACTAAACCTACCCCGATTCAATGGCAACAATTTCGACGGGTGGTTGTTGTTGATCCAACAATGCTTCAGTATCCACGAGATCCTAGAGGACCAATGGGTGACGATGGCTGGTCTAGGCTTCGACGACAAGGTGGTAGAGTGGTATGGGTGGCTTAAGGAGTTTGAATCGTAGCCGACATGGAAGCAATTCACAGCCACGTTGGATGCGCAATTTGCTGAACAACAGGAAATGAACTATGCTGGTTGAATCTCCAAGCTAGTCTAGACAAGGACTGTGTAGGAGTACCAAGAGAAGTTGTTGTGTGTGTCTAGTGGATCGAACGAAGGCTATCTCATGGGGTTCTTTATGATTGGCCTTAAGCTGGAGATCAGGGTAGGTGTGGAAAAGTTCAAGCCCACCACCTTGATTTGTGCTTTTCGCCTAACTCAACTCAAGGAAGAAAAATCAATGGTAAAGCAGTAGGCGGTTATGCGGGATCTACCAAAGCCTCAACCACTGATAGCCATTCCAGCAACCGCTGCTCCTCGGCCACCACATGAGGTAAGATGTCCGACTCTAGCGAAACAAAGAAACTCCTGTGGATTGATGTCATAATGGAAGACAACAACAACAACATAGGAGGAAAAGTGGTAGAAGAACCTTCACCCAAGATTTTTCCGCATGCCATCCTGGGACATACATCACCACATACAATGAACGTTAGGGGAAGTGTGAATGGGTATCCTTTGACCATACTCATTGTGACATTGTCTCGACCCACAGCTTTATCAACCCACGGGTACAGGAGAAGGCTGGAATTTTGATCACCTTTTCCACTAGATTTCAAGTAATGGTGGCTAACAGTGATAAGCTACAATGATCAGGGAAATTCTAATAGGTGTGTACTTAGGTTAATGGTTTGGATCTTATTGCTGATTGCTTTGTGTTGCCATTACAAGGATATGTCGTTGTCTCGGATACTCAATGGCTACAATCTCTATGCATAGTGGCTTGGAATTTTGCCACCCTTACTCTGCAATGTTTGAACATATTGGTACGTCCATTGCTAGAAGAATGTCATAGAAAAGATGGTGCGCGAGATGTTTCAATAGGGGATTGTCCGACCTAGTTCGAGCCCCTTTTCATCCCTAGGGGTGGTGTTAACACAAGATGGTCAACTAATTGCTTTCCTCAGCTAGGCCCTCAGCCGGCACAACCTACATCAATCAAAATATGAGAAGGAGATTCTAGCCATAGTCAAGGAAATACATAAATGGAGGCCATATCTCCTTGGTAGGTGGTCTAGATCCAGAATGATCATCAAAGTCTCTCCCACATGTTATGACAGAAGATAGCCACCCTTGCACAATAGAAAATGCTAAGTAAATTGATTGGGTATAATTTCGAAGTGGTGAACAAGGGGAGGGAGAACATAGTGGCCGATTTCTTATCTAGAGTCCCTGAAGGTGAGAGCTTTTCCATATCGGTGTTGATTTCCACAAGGGTTGAGGATGTTAGGAAAGAGACCAAGGAGAATCCTTTTCTATAAATAATTGTTCAAAAGGTTGAGCAAGGAGAGGACCTACCTAAGGGAGTGGTCTAGAAAGATGAGTTATGGAAGTGAGGACAAATAATGTTAGGTCCGAACTCGCCTCTCCACTTCAAATTGTTCGAATAAGTGTGCGCTAGTCCCTCAGGTGGCCACTCTAACTATCACAACGATTGAGAGAAATTTATTACTAGTTGGCTATAAGAAAGATCTCAAAATGTGGGTGTGAGAATGTGAAGTTTTCTAGTGTTGTAAGGGGAGAATGTGTCGGTACCCGAATTGCTATAACCCCTACTAGTTCTTAACAAGATCTAGCAGGATATATCGATGGGTTGCCAGCCTCCAATAGGAAGACAATTGTAACGGTGGTGGTTAATCGACTATCAAAATATGGAAATTTCTTGGCTCTCGCACATCAACCTAGGCTTTCATGAGAGATATATTTAGACTTCATGGAATGCTATAAAGCATCATCTCCAATAGGGACCCAGTCTTCACCAACTCTTTCTGGTGAGAACTCTTTAACTCCAAGGTACGACACTCAAGATGAACTTAGCCTATTACCCCTAGTTGGATGAACAAACTGAAGCTCTTAATTGTATTATGGAAGCCTACTTGAGATGCTTCACCAGCGAACAACCAAAGACATGGGAGAGATGGCTACCCTTGGCCAAATGGTGGTACAATACCACCTACCACTTCAGCTTGGACCACCCCTTATTAGGTCGTATATGGGTTCCTCCTACTCTCCTGATGTATGTCTCATGCACCACGAAGGCTCATCAAGTCAAAGAGGAACTCAAAGAAACACCTGGGCTAGCATGCAATCAAGGCAAGTTCTTTACCACATTTACTTCCAGATGGAACTGTACATCCCATTCCAAAGGTCAGTTTCAACAAGCAAATCATCAAAATGGGGAATCAAGTTGTAACAAAAGGTACTTATATGGTGGGATGGGACAACTAAACTTGATGCCACGTGGGAAAATTGGGTTGAACTCATCAAGTGCTTCCTAGAGGTCAACCTTGAGGACAAGGTTGTTGCGAAGAGAGGGGGAGCTATCATGTGATCTCCACCCCAGGGACACGTGTCTCCTCCAAAATCCAGGACTTCTTGGTCCACCAAATAGTTAGCAGATGCCAGGCCGTTAGAATATTGGGGTTTTTATTGTTCAGTTGGCCCTAGAAGTCTTAGCTCCACCATACAAGTGGATGAATCCTAACCGTAGATCGATGCCAAATCCACAGGCAGGATACAGTTTATAGGGAGGCTACTAGTAGACTAGGAGGGGTGTAATTTTAGATTTCTGAGGTGGAACGTAGTCCACTTATCCCTAAAATATTAGGAGATCATGGAATGATTGTAATCATTTATCGTTATGATTGCCAATGATTGGCTATAAAAATGTAAAGCTCATATGTAATGAATAGACTATTTTGCCAAATTCCCTAGTTTCCCCTTTTGGTCTTCTTTGGTAGACCCTTTCCTTCGAATTCACATCTCCGCCCCACAAGGGGTTGCCCCACAATGTCCCACAGCACATCCCTACTGTGTATTGAGAACATCTCTCGATGATAGTACCAGAACCGATGATGTCATCATTGAGAGATGTTCCCAATACACGACGGGGATGTTGTGGGACAGACATGTGATCTTCCCTTCTGAGTGGTGTCTCCAACATCATAGCTAGGGAAACCCAACACTCTCAGCCTGTTATGTTAGACGGAGGAGGTCCATGCCAATGAACGGCAACCAAAACACAATTGAATCTCACGTAAGAAGAGGTCTTTGGTGTTGGTTTGCGTTCTATTTTTTATTTCCTTTTCCTTTGCTTTTGCCTTTTGTTATAGTCGCAAGCGCAATGCACAATCCGGAGAAGACCGTACGTATCTGGTAAGAAAAAGGAATTGTAATTTAGATTAAAGCCTTTTCTTTTTTGTTCTACATGAGAACTAAGCTCTTTATGAGCAGTCATTTTTGATCGTCATAGACTTCTTTAGTTGTTGCTTCTACAAATAGGAAAACAAAGAATTAGAGAAAGCAAATCATTTCTTGATTGGACGGAGACAAGTTGTGCACCACTGGTGGTAAGACGACATTGCTTCATTAGGCTAAAGGAAAAACAGATGCAACGCTCACTAACAAATTTGTTGTTATCTGTCTCGATCTATGAATAATGTCCTACAAGAAAACGCAGCCCAGAACCGCATAGTATTCTTTCTGTCCGGCCATAAAAAAGTCCCTCAATGTCTCCATTTCTTGGTTGTCATAGGTTAAAAATATCATTTTGAAAATTTGAAGAAATTGAAGGGTAAAATAGATATTTTATTCTTTCACCCATAGTTAACAGTAGTAGTGTTCAATTGTCAGAAAACCTAAGGATATTTTTTAAGTCATTTTGCAAACAATGAGTGCATAATTACTCAATTTCACAAAACCCAGGGTTAATTAAATATTTTATACAATACTAAGGCCTCCTTCATTTCATTTCATGGATTTTGGTAGGGGGGAAAGTCGATTAATGGAATTTTGATTCCCATTGACCGACTCTCACATGTTCTTTTTCAGGAATTAGGTGAGACCCACAGTAAATGCCTTTCCCCTAGGTATCATTTACCACGGAAAGTGTTACCCTTCATCCACTTGGTAAAGTTTCCAAGTGGAGAGTAAATGCTCAAAATATAATATGTCAAAAATTCCCATTAAAAAAATATAATTCAAAAAGCATAAACTTGGACCCATGGATAAAAATGACAAAACATAGAAAATTAATCACTTAGTTGGGAAAGTGGACGAGGCAAAAGAACATGAGAAATTTGAAAGATCTCATTTACCCAGATAAATTTAACATAAAAGAACATGGATAAATACACTTATCCGGATAAATGGCCTCTATGTAAATGAACAAGGCCTAAATGTAGTATCAATTTGACAACCTTGACCATCTGATACAAACCCATAAAGAAACTTAGATTGAAGGATTTATACCATGTTTATAGCTAGGACAGCAACTTGGGCATGTTTAACTCGATCCAACCAAAGCATTTCCATGGACTGGCCTTAGATTGAAGGATTTATACCATTCCAACCTATAATATTATTCCATTCAAAAATATGTCGTGATACTTTGAACCTTGCTTTAAACTGTCATCTACCAAACATAAACAATCAGAGAACTCAACTCCTGTTTTAAAACGAGTTGGGAAAATGATCTTCAACTGTCTTTTTGTGAGAGGGCAATGACTTGGACGAGAAGCACGAATGAAACCCTACCACTCCAACACGCCTCTTTTGTGTATAAAAAAAAGCAAGGCATTTAATGAACTTTTCTTGAATCAAATGAATGACTTCTAACTTTTATTATTTATGGTTAAGGAATAAAGAATGATATAGCTTAAGGAAGAAGAAATGTCATGGCTTTCTGTAACAAGTCCATTCTACTACTGTGGTAGAAACAAGGCACTACGAAGCTGGTATACAATTTTCCTCAACTATTAAATCTTGAGTTTCTTTCATGAAGCCAAAATCTCTTGTAACCAAGCAAAAACTAATCTGAGTCGATCATACTATTCAAGATCGAGTCAATATTTGGAGTTATGACAGCACGCTTGTTGAGCTCGCCAAGAATGCAGCAGTGTTTCTCTTCAGTATTGATTGCAACAACATCCTGAGCAAAAACACAATTCATGCCCGAAGAAACCTGCAAGCAAAGCAAGAAATTAAGTACGTCCATCACAATAAAACTGAATTACTTTTACTCTTATAACAAAAATTCAGATACTTGCAATATTTTCTAATACTAGTTTGGGAAGACTTGGTCGTTGAACAATGTAGAACACTTTTGGTGGAAGGACAAAATATATTCCTATTGGGTAGCAGAAATGACAAGAAAAATGGCAAGGAGTAAATGGAGCTACAACTTTATCTTCCTATAGGTTAATATCATAAGAATTGCAAAGAATATTATGAAAAAGTTTTCAAAAACATTTTGATTTTTACAACCATATAAAATTCAAAGTATAAGAATTTATGTTCTATTTTTATTAACATAAATATCTAATCACAGCAACAAGAAAGAATGGAATGCAGAAGAAAGTTGGGGTGATCATCAAAAACCAAAAAACTGAACCAAACTGACAAAACCGAATTAAAAATTCCAGTTAACTGAACCGGTGAGTTTATTTTTGAAAAACTGAAGGTACCAGTTCAGTTTCGGTTCACCAATATAAAAAATCAATGATTAACTGAACCAACTGGTATATCAATGTGTGTGTGTGTTGTATATGATTTTCATATATATTTTATATTATCTATATATTTAAAAGGGATAATTTCTTAAACTATCCCTACTGTTTAGTATTGACTAACTCCACCCATACTGTTTTAACTATTATCTTGCACCACCCCTATTATTTCTGACAATTGACTAACTCTACCCTTACCATTAGCATCTGTTAACATTCTGTCAAAATCTGTACACACATGAAGAGTGAAAGAGGGGTTACTAAATCTGCCGCTGCAACTTGCAGTGGCAATGGCAAAACAGTAGAAGTGAAAGAGTAGGGGAGAGAGAGAGAGAGAGAGAGAGATAGTGAGGGTGACAACCCGTAAACCCAGGTAAACCCGTTTAGGGGTGCAAATAGGATCGGATCATCTATTTGGTTGAATTCGGATCACCCCTATTCGATTCGATGTGTTATATATTTATAAATATAAATATATTATATATATGTTATTTATTTATAAATATATTATTTATATTATATTTTTATAAATTTGTTATATTATTTATTTTTTATAAAAAACATGTATATATATGAGGAAAATAATTACAAATATTTGTATTTTTTTGTTTTTTCTTTATTTAAATTGGTATATTTTATTTTTTATTTTAATAGTTTATTAATTTTTAAAGAAAACAAATCGGATCAAATCAAATCTGAATAACCAATAGGATTCAAATTCAGATCGAGCCCTATCAGATCCAATCAGATTGAATCTGACATGCACAGTGTCAGATTGTATTTGAATATACCCTGATTCAAATCTGATCTGTTTGCGTCCCTAAACCCATGGAACAAGGAATTAAGCATCACCCTCTGTTCCTCAATATCCATGCAATCTACAGGTAAAAAAGAACTCCAAGACATAGTCGATCAACCCATTGTAGATACTCCTCAGGCAAATTGCAACCGTAGCTCGCAACCCAAATATCCTAGCACAATGCAATAAAGGATATTCTATCTTGTTGAAGGCAGTTACATCAGTTGAGAAGCAGGGCTGGTTCGTGGTGGAAGATATTCCAACAACACCTTGACCTCTAAACAAGTGGTGCTCAGAGCATGCCTCATGAAAACCCCACATTTGAGTGGTTAATTTGGACGAGATGGACTGCCAGATCCAAATCCGCCATAGTGACGATACAAGAAAAAGGGAAAGAGAAGGAATGAGGGGAGACGAAAAATGGGATCGACGGAAAGAAGGGGAGAGAAAGAAGAAAAGACAAACCGAAACGGGGAGGAGCTATTGCTGAGTTTTAATCTGAGGGAATGAGGGAGAATGAAGGGGAAGAAGAATGAGAGAGAGAGAGAGGGAAAAAGGGACATTTCATTATTTTCGTTATGATTTAACAGCGATGATAATTGTTAGAAACAGTATGGGTGGTTTAAGACAATAGTTAAACAGTAATGGTAGAGTTAGTCAATTAGCTAAACAATAGGGGTAGTTTAAGAAATTTGTCCTATTAAAAATGAATATATATGCACTATATATATAATATAGTATTTTATTATAATTTATATATTTATTTATAATATATATTATAAATATAAAAAAAAAAACTGAAAAACTGATCACTAGTTAACTGATTGGATTCGGTTCAGTTTTGGTTCATGGTTTTCCAGAAACTAGTGATAGTAGTTCGATTTGAAAAAATAAAAATAGCCCCATGGTTCAATGAGCCCTAGAAAAAAAAAGGTATAAAAATATTCGAAGTTTTATTTTACAATGAGAAGCCAGTAATCAAGATTGGAATTATATATCTATATATAGAGCCAATAAAGGCAAACTAAAAACAACTAAACCTATTTGAATCAAATATAAGAAACATGAAAGTGGATCCAAGATTATAACTATCACATTTACTCTTACTCACATCATATAGGGTATCCCCGAGCTTCAGCTTAATGGCACCACTTTCATATACTAGCATTTTACCCATGAATCCAACAGGCAACTCTTCCAATTTGCAGGGCTTTTCTGAAGAAACCCCACCTCTGAATTGTTTCAAACCACTATTGGTTCCATCATTGTTTGTTGTAGCTGACCGCTTAACTAGGGGCAAAGATGACGGTAGCTGAAGGAAGATCATCCTTGCTTCTTTATTCTCTTCCTGTCAATAATTGAACAAGAATTTAAGAGGCTTCTAAATATTTCCTGTAACATTGTATTTGATCTTGCATTTTAATCATTACCAACCATTAAGTCAAGCTCTGTAGCTAACTTTACAGAACTTTCATCATAAGCAATTTCTTCTGAAGCCTCCCCGAATTCCTCGTCATCAAGAAGTACTGAAAGTAATGGAGCTAAATATGAGCAATCTTACAACATGGTTTTTTCCATTTGCTTGAACGCAAAAGAGACAATTTTTTACTAAAAATTGTTAGTTAGATTCCCACACCTTCTATAGCAAAAACTTTGTAATCTATCCCTTTTACATTCAAACAAAAGCAGCCTAGCATTGTGCATCAAGAAAACGCTACATCTTTTGACACTTTTTTTTGCCTACTATAAACAAGTGCTCAAAAGATAGTAGCTATGTGACAAAGTTAATGTAGTTGAGGAAAGTGTCCCCTATTTCTTTCCCCATGGGTGCAGTGAAATATCATGTTAAACTCTAATACCCTAGATTTTCTGTTTTAAAGTAATGTGACTTTTGAGATGTGCCTCAAACTTACCTGGGTCTCCTGAGTATGGCCTTCTCAAAGGAAGGGCAGCGGGATAGTAAGAGTAGTAGTCCTAGAGAGCCATCAAGGGAAACTGTAAGATAGCATATGAGAGAGAGAGAGAGAGAAACGCATTATGAGATTTTGGGAATGGAGCCAGGTTAGTGTTTGCTTACCCAGGGTTCTTTGTATTCTTTCTCCATTCTACGTGCTGATGAATGAACTCCATCTACAAAAATGCATTACAGAGGTTATATTCCTTAGCATCATTGGTTACTCAATTCCACAAAAGGAAGTGTACTAACCATCAGAACCCAAACCTTGATATTTACTACTACTACCAACTTTTGAAGAGCCATATGACATAAAATAATTTGATGAAGGTCCAAAACCAAATGCAACTTGTGCAGGTCCTGCTGAAAGTAATAAAACCAGAAATAAGAACAGGTAATTGATTTATCAATAAAGTAGTACCATTTACCCACTCTAATCCATGCTTTTGCTAGAATTTCCCTTCCTTTAAGAATACATAGCATGGAGTTAAGGAGGCTCAAAACTAGAATTCTATTGGTTAACTAATTGTTTGCTAAGCAAGGAGGTCCCTCTTATGAGTTTAACCTCCCCCATCCATCTGGCCCAACACATAACAAAGCAATGTTCTTATAGGATCTTACACCAAAAACATGCACATGGATGATGGCCATGGACCATGAAATTGTTTAGCCTCCTGTTTTAGTAAGAAAAGTTGTTTTCAAGAATTTCTAACTACTGAACTTTTTTCTTATTGATATCTTCTAAGTGATTAGTTTAGTATCATTTTTTTTGACAACCTAGTTAAGTATCAAATGATAGGATAGAATTTTGTATTAAATGATGATTTCAATTGAGTAGTTGGTTTTGTGTTTAAGAGAAGGATCAAGAAAACTTTGATTCTAAAGTTATGGAATTATACCAATGTTAGACAACTCTTACATGCATACAACTCTTGGTGATGGATCTTAATTTGTCCTTGAAGAGATTGATTTAGCAGAAAGCATGTTAAGTTAGTTGTAATGCCCATTTGAGAAGAAAGGGGGTTTATCAAGAGATACAATGATTTGGATAAGAATAGCCACATCTTTGAGAACATTGTTAAAAATACATAGTAGAGGAATGTCAACAAATTTTCCATTATCAAATCAAAATAGAATGGGTGACATACCCAAAAGCCTAATTAGTGAATCTAAAAAACTGAAACACAAGGAGAAATGATTCTTACAATATTCTCAATAAGATTATTTAGAGAAATAGGAAGAAGTCAAAAGAACAAGAACTAAGAGGCTTGATGCAGTAATCTTAGATCATCAAATGGAGTAAAATATAATCCACGTTCAACATCAGAATAATCTGAAATCTTTGGATATGTTGCTGAAGTTTTGAACCCACAACCATTTTAAAGAGATCATTACCTCGTAATCATTAAAAATGTAAATTTACCTGGGGGTAAAGGAAGCAAGCAGTATGAATTCTAAAAGACTTTTATTTGTTGGAGATACATAAATTCAGGATAGAAAAGTGAGCATGAAAGCTAGAAAATTGAAATCTATTRGGAAGATGGAATGGAAGAGAAGTACCATTGGGTTAAGCCATAATAAAGCCCATACAGATGTAACAGTGAGTCATACAAGTTAGTGTCACATTGAATAATTCATCAAATCCTATAGTTAACTTTATTACCAACATTAAGTCGAGTAAAGAAAAGAAATAACTAGAAACCAGGATAGAAAGTATTGGAGTTATAAACTTAATGCAGTATTAACAGACATCATCATAAGAAAAACAATAGAAGATAACTTACATTTTCTTTCCATTTTAGGCCTTCCATTAACAGAACTTTCCTAGAAATGCACAATAGCAAATCACACCACAGACTTAAGGAACATAGTATTCATCAAACATAAGGAAATTGATACTTATAATGAAAATAATGAAAAACAAAAGTACATTGACACGCYGCAGTAACTCTCTTGTTTGAAAAGCCTTTACATCCTCAACTTCTTCACTGTAAGTAGGCAAGACCAAAAAAAGGTTATAAGTAGGTAATTGGATTTAATCAATAACGAATGGCATGTGAAGATGCAATATGACAACATAATGTTACATTTTAGGTGCAGCGGGAATGGGTGCTCTACGAGGAGGAGCTTTTGGTGCATATCTGACCTGTGGCACATAAAAAACAACTCATTAGAAAACATGGAGAGAATAAACCATTCCATTTTCAGATAGGATAAAATATGAGGATAAAAACAAACCTTCCTAGGAATAGCATGTTTAGTATCAACAGGTTCTGGTTCCATTAAATCCTCTTTTCTTCCCTTTCTTTTTAGATTTGCCTGTTGCAATATGGTAGTGTAAGGCTAGATATACACATGGTCCAGCATAAAATGATCATTTTATCTTACTATTCTTTGTGATGGCTGCAATGCTGAATGCGAAAAATTCAAATGGTCTGAAAGAGGTTAATGAAAATTTGAAATTTCTTTTATAAGTATGTGAGTGTCGGGAAATGACTCACTTGGGCTGGAGTCGCCACCCATCAATCAAATGAAATAGAGGTGATGGATCCTCCGGGAATGGTGTTAAGAAAATCATTTTTTATTTGTAATGACTTCATGACCCAAGGCACTGGCTGAACAGCCTGAATTAGTCCAGGTAAGACTCGGAGAGTTAGGCACCCCTCTCCCAGGTCTAATAGGTGGGGCTCACAGGACATCTCAAACAATCAAGCACAGATAAGAACAAATCAACATAAAAGAAAATATTCCCTATATTTATTTATTTATTTATTTTTATTTTTATTTTTAGTTTTTATCTTTTTATTATTATCTTCTTTATTTTATCTCCTTTTATTTTTATCAATTATTTATTCATTTTTTGTTATTTTCTTATGGAGCCCCGTTACCTATTGGATTAGTCACTTATTTATTATATTTTTTAATTATTTTTATCAAGCTTATTTTTTAAGTTTTTTTATTGTTTCTTTTTTTTTAAAGGCTTATTCTCCTCCTTTTTACCTATGAGGCAACAAATGTGACCTAACTGTCAAATTAAGCAACTGGACTCAATCCCCAAACCTGTTTTTCCCTACCTGTAAATTTTAATGTTATTCTTTTTTCTCCTTTTATTATTATTTTCATTATTATAATTTATATCTTCCATTTTCGAATCTGATTTACTCCCTATCACCTATCCTTTCTTCCATCCCATTCTACAATTTTTTTTCCATTAATCAACAAGTAACTCAATTATTTATCTCAATCTCAAGAAAGAAAAACCGGCGACCATTCAATCCGATTCTCAGAACTAAAAACCAAACATCATCAGTTAAAGAAGTGAAACACATGTTGCATACATCTAAAACAGAGTACACATCCTGTTAACCCACGGGTTCACGGAAAGCGTGAACCTGCCGATAAAAAATGACCACGTCAGCATATTAAAAATGTTTAACGTTAATGGGCCTTTACCCGTTAGCTAAACGTGTCTGGTTAAACCAGATACAAAAGGACCAAAAAAGCTTAAACTTTTAAGGGTAAATCTCTTAAATTACCCCTACTGTCAACGTGTTAAGTGCTAATAAAAGGAAACAAAATGTCAAATTTATCCTCTATTATTTCTCAAATTTCATCCCCTCTTCTATTCTCTCTCTCCTTCGTCCTCTGCTTATCCTTGATTAGATATTCTTTCAACCCTCCGTTGAGCTCCCGAGCTATTAAAGAGATATTCTTCCTTTGCTTATCCTTGACATCTGAGATTCTTAAACTACCATTGGCGTCATCGTAGACATTCTTTCAACCCTCCGTTGCCACTCGAATTAGGCGTCCATGAAAATCTCTTTCACTTGATTCTGATTTACATTGCATCTGCAACTGGATTTATGAAGATTAATCTATTAATCTTGAAGTCTAATCTATTAATCACCGGAAGAGTTTTCACAGTTTCAGGTGAACTTTCATTAATTTTTTTACTGAAAGCCACAGTTGATTGTCCAAATTAATGCAAAAGTCCAAGCGGGAGTGCGGGACCAGGTCTTTTAATTTTAATTTTTCCCTCTATACAGAACAGTACTCATCATCTCCCCGCTTCTCTGTATCTGTGACAGAAAGGCAAGGAATTAGCAGCAGAAAGAGACACAAACGTAAGACGGCGGATCCGATGCTATGAGCCTCAGACAGCGCCCAGCTGCGGCCGCCGCTCGCGGTGGTGGTCCGGAACCTATCTCCGGCTACGGTTCCACCCTGCCACAAGCCAACGACCATGAAGAACCTTTCAACATCATCCCCGTCCACAACCTCCTTGCTGATCACCCCTCTCTCCGCTACCCCGAAGTCCGCGCCGTCGCTGCCGCACTGCATGCTGTCGGCGACCTCCGTAAACCCCCATACGGTGAGGCGGTAGCCAGATCTGAGATCTGGTTTCTCCTTGCAGATTTGAGATCTCCGACCTTTCTCACCGTCGCACTACCGTCCGGAAATTCCACTACCCCCACCGCCACTCCCATAACCTCCACCACCGCTTCCTCCATAATCTCCACCACCGCCACCACTGCCTCAACTCCCCGCCACCATCGCTACCTCCATAGCCCCTGCTAGCAGCACCTGCATAACCACTACCACCGCCAGTTTCATAGTTTCCGCCACTGCCAATGGAGGGATGATGAAAAAGGGAGAGGGATGAAGGTCAAAGTTGGGTTTTAAAAAAAATTCGTATGAATTTCGACAGAATATTAACAAATATTAACAGGGTAGAGCCAGTCAATTATCATAAAATTTAAGGATCCACAGGACAATAATTAAACAGTATATAATAGTAAGGGTAATTTAAGAGATTTATCCTACCTTTAATTAACTTGGATGTTTGATCTTCTTTTCATTTTTTATTCTCCTCCACCAAACCAAGTATCCATCAGCCACTCACTCACACCAGTGTCCATGAACGCAGAAGCCACCGACAGCAGGAAGAAATCCACCATCCCCGCTCTCCCTCCCCTCAATTATCTCGTCCAATGCTCGTCAATTCCTTTTAAAGACTCCATCAGGTGACGTTGCCTGAGTATCTGAGTGGAGAGATAAGTTTCTTTGATACAAGGAATTGAGGAAGCGTTTGAAGATAATTCATACGAAAGAAGTGAGAAGAGTAGTAAGCGGGTGAAATTGACAGACATGATTCTGATGTAATAATTTTTGGTCATGTATCAATTTTTTTGTGATGTGTTAATTTTTTGGCTAAGTACCTCGTCAGTGACGATTGTTCCCAAGTGGAGCTCACTAGTGGCGAGCTACCTAGTGGCGAACTGTTTGGTGGTGAGCTACTTGGTGGCAAACTACCTTATGCCGAGCTGCCTGTGAGGTGCCAGGCAGGTGCCAAACTGACCAGGTGTTGGGCAGGTGCCAAATTGATCAGGTGCCGAGTTGGACGGGTTAGGTGATGAGCTTCCTTGCTCTTTGGAGTCCTGCAAGGAACCAAATGTCAGAGGACCCGAGGTGGCTAACCCGACGAGGTCGCTCCGATGCTTAAGTCAGTACTCTCATAGTAGACTGCGAGCTAAAAATCATAAAGTATGAGAGCTAGAATATGTTTACTTGCTTACTTGCCCTCTCCTTGCCCTTGGGGTTGGTGCCTTTATATAGGCATTGTTTGGTGTGGGTTTCACACACCATATCCGAGATTTCTGCGAGGTCGTCTAAGTGGTTCGAGATTCTCGGAGGTAACTACCATGCACGTTGACCACCCTCTGGATCGTTCGGCACTGGGCCAACTTCCAAAGATCGTGGGAGTGTTAGGATATGCATGCTGAATTTGTCAGTGAGCACGTCTTGTAAGTTGCCAGGTCGCACCTGTGCCAGCTCGTGCCTGTGCTAGGTCACGCTTGTGCCAACTCGTGCATGTGCTAGGTCGCACCTGTGCCAAGCTGCCAGCTAGTGCTTGTGCCAGGTCGCGCCAGGGCCAGGCCGCCAGGCTGCCAAGTGGAACACTATCAACTTGGTTAAGGCAAGTTGTTGCCAAAGTGGTTTCGGGTGTCACCTAGTTGTTTTAAGGTGCCATGTGTCACAATATCATTGGAGAGTCAAATCCGCCCTCATCATTTGCCCCCCACTCCCGAGCCAAAAGTAACTCGACGAAGGGAGTAGATTTCTCCTTTTGGCCCGGAATGAATAATTAGTTGAGCTCATAAGCGTCAATTCAATTCCTTAGGCTCTGTGAGCGACTCGTAGTCCACTCCTTGATTTTGCCCATGCCGAAGAGGCGACTGGGTCTTATATGGTGAGGAGCTCTTTGCTAGTTTGGTATTTTGGCCCTTAGACTCTGGGAGTGACTCGAAGTCCACTCTTCTTGGTATTTGATTTTGCCCAATACCGAAGAGGTGATTGGGTCTTATGTGATATTTTAGCCCTTAGGCTCTGGGAGCGACTCGTAGTCCACGCTCCTTGATTTTGCCCATGTCGAAGAGGCGACTGGGTCTTGTAATGAGGAAGCCTCTTATCGGTTCGTCAATTCGCGCCTGGTCAGGCCGCTAGGTCGATGCCTGCGCCAAGTCGCGCCAGGCTACCAGGCCGCGTCGGACCTTGCGGAGGCCGTCCCGGGTCGCGCGCTAACCACCGGGTGGGCGCCTTAGAGCTATGATTGTGCTGCATCAGCCTTGTAATGCCGGTCACCCACTCCTACAAGAAGTTACTAGGAGCTCGACCTTCGGGGGCAACACTACTAACTTTGGGTTGCCAGCTCACACGGGAGCCTTGAAAGGCTCGACCAGCAAGGGCACCCATGTAGTATGTTGGCTGCCAACTCCCACGAAAGCCACGAAAGCCACGAAGAGCTCATCTTTGTAGAAGGGACCTCACGAAGAGGATTGGTGGGGTTTTATCTGAATTGAAAATAAAGTTGGTAGAGTTGCTTAATCTGTTAGCTCCCTGCATAGTCTTTGAGTTCATAAAAAATGGAAAGTATAAAGCGAGAGCTTTTGTTTCTAAAAAATGAGGACTTAGTTTTTTAGAAAAAGAGGACTTAGCTTTTTAGAGGAGGAGAACTTAGCTTTTTAGAGGAGGAGAACTTAGCTTTTTGTAGTGATTCCCACAGACGGCGCCAAATGATGTAACCGTTCCTGGTCATGTATCAATTTTTTTGTGATGTATCAATTTTTTGGCTAAGTACCTCGTCAGTGACGTCTACTCCCAAGTGGCCTGTGATTCAGAGGCTGAAGTAGAGCTCTCTAGTGGCGAGCTGTCTGGTGGCGAGCTACCTAGTGGCGAACTGCTTGGTGGTGAGCTACATGGTGGCGAACTGCCTTGTGCCGAGTTGCCTAGTGGCGAGTTGCCTGAGAGGTGCTGAGTTGCCTGTGAGGTGACAGGCAGGTGCCGAACTGACCGGGTGCCGAGATGGGCAGGTTAGGTGACGAGCTTCTTTGCTCTTTAGAGTCCTGCATGGAACCAACTATGAGAGGACTCGGGGTGGCTAACCCAGCGAGGTCGCTCCAATGCTTAAGTCAGTACTCTCATAGTAGACTGTGAGCTAAAAATCATAAAATATGAGAACTGGAATATGCTTACTTACTTACTTGCCATCTCCTTGCCCGTGGGGTTGGTGTCTTTATATAGGCATTGTTTGGTGCGGGCTTCACGCACCATATCCGAGATTTTTGGAGGTAACCGCCATGCACGTTGACCACCCTCCGGATCGTTCGACACGTAGGCCAACTTCCAAGGATCGTGGGAGTGTTAGGATATGCATATTGAATTTGTCGGTGAGCACGTCTTGTAAGTTGCCAGGTCGTGCCTGTGCCAGGTCGCGATTGTGCCAGGCTTCCAGTTCGTGCCTATGCCAGGCTGACAGCTCGTGCCTGTGTCAGGCTGCCAGCTCGTGCCTGTGCCAGGTCACACCAGGGCCAGGCTGCCAAGTCACACCTGTGCCAAGTCATGCTTGTGCCAGGCCGCCAGACCGTCAGGTGGAACACCATCAACTTGGATAAGACAAGTTATTATTAAAGTAATTTCGGGTGTCACCTAATTGTTCTAAGGTGCCATGTGTCACAATATAATTGGAGGGCAAAATCCGCCCTCATCAGATTCCACCAAAATTTAAGAGATAATCGAGTTGTTATAGGCTGCATTCTAGAAATTGGTTTGAAAATCAAAATTCAGGGTTTTAATTTATCGTCCTATTTCTAATTTGTCTACATTGGAGACATCATGAACATTAAAATTTCCTGAACCAAATCTCTTTGTAATCAAAACCTTCAAATTGTTTTGGGGAAAGATCTGGCTCTTTGATCCAGGTCTTGCGTTTAATAGGTGCATATTGGCTCGATGTGACTTCTGGATGAACCAACGTGCACCTTCCTATGTCCGGTCGGAGATTCCAATGCCCTCTCGAGAATTTAACAATTACTCTGCAAACGATGCAGCATGTTAGCCGATACATGTCTATTAGAATTGACGGATTTTTGGATTTGTTTGTTGTTTGCAGGAGTTGCAGGATAGAGTAAGAAAGGCAAAGGATTCGAATGAAGAGATGATTAAAGTATGCAAAGCAAAGGATTTCCACTACGATCGTTGAACGCACCAAAAACTACGATGATGACCGCCGACTGATTTCTTTCGCCGCCGGCGGCTTCCGCGTTCATGGACGCCGATGTGCAGTGAAAGGTGGGTGCATCTGATTCTGGGCTAGGGTTCGGTGGATTAACATTCATTGAAACTGAAAAAAAAAATGATTCTTAACATTGTTAAAACCAGAACAAGGTAAATCTGTTCTCAAAATGGTTAAATCGATGCAGTCTTGTCTTTCTAGAAAAGGAGATAGGATATACCATGAAAAAATAACTTAATACAGCATGAGAAATGAATGGTTACTGGGCTGAATCGGGGCTGAGAGTTTACCGGAGCTGGTTTGGGGAAACCTCCTTACCAGCTCTATCGGCGGTCTCCCTCCTTCAAGTTCCAACTATGGTAAGACAAAAAAATAATAAGATAAAATAGCTAAAAGAGAGAACAAGAGTATGAGCACAAATGCTTACCTGTAGATGTTTGGGCCTGAAATCGTTCAGCGAACAGGGGGGTTCAATCTGTTTCGGCTTCGGATTGTTCGCCCCCGCACAATGATGAACTTCGTGGATGGCTGTATGCAAACTAATGGAAGTGAAAGGACGGGAATCGCCGGTCACCGGGTTATTCTCGACTGATGACGAAATCGCCGATCGCCCCTGCTGTAGCTTCTTCTGTTCGAACGGCGAGTTTATAGGACGCAGGGGATTCGGCCAATGACCCAAACGTTAAAAATCCCAACGAAATAGTGGGTAAAAGAAATTGGGAAGGATAGTAGGACTGAAAACGACTGAGAAATCGCCAGATTCGAGTGAGGATAAGGGGAAGCTCCGCCGTTGCAAATCTTTTATGTGATTGAGAACAGAGTGAAGGCGGTCTGAGAATGACACGAAGAAGGGGGAAGAGAGAAGGAAGAAGAAGAGAGAGAAGAAGGAGAAGAAGAAGAGAGAGAGGGAGAGACCAGAGGCGAAGGGGTTGCCGCCGCCGTTCCGGATTCGAATAAGATAACAGTGTTTGTTCGGGCGATTGTATATATATTAAAACAAGGAGTTTAGAAATTTTTTCGTTATTTTTGAATCGTAATAATTAAAATAATATCTTTTGTTAAAATTTCTACTAAATATCTTTTTCACTGTCTCACTTTCTCTAAAATTATCTCTAATTTTTATTTATCTTTTAAATTGTCTCTAATTTAGTAAAGAATTTTTCTCCTAAATTATATCTAATTCCTATTTATCCTCTTTCTACTTTTTAATCTATATCTATTTAAAGATAGTTTTGATTAAAAATTTTAAAAATTATTTAAATATTCTAACAAAATTATATAATAACTCTAAAATATTTATTAAAAACACAATAAATAATTTTATTTTACAAAATATATCACAAAATTATGTACTAACAATTTAAATTATGTTTTTTTCCAGATTATCAATTTAAATGTTTTTCAAATGTTTAATAATATATAATAACTTTAAATAAATAAAATTCAAATAACAAAAAACTTAAATATTTTATAAATTATTTAAATATTTAAATAACTAAATATTTATGATAACTAGATTTTAAATAATTAAAATAATGAAATTATGTAATAAATTTTAAAAAAAATCTTCAAAGTAGAAAAATAGTTATAACATAATATTGGAATTAATAATAATTTAGTATATTACAAATTTAATAACAAATTATATAATAATAGTATAAATTATGATTTTATGGATAATTAAATTCAATAAAAAATTAATATTTTAAATTTTAAATATTTTACATATTATTTAATTATTGAAATAGTTAAATAACTAAATATTTATCATAACTAGTTTTTAAATAGTTAAAATAACGAAATTATGTAATAAATTTAAATAGTTTCTTCAAAGTAGAAAAATAATTATAAGATAATATTCGAATTAATAATAATTTAATATATTACAAAATTAATAATGAAATTATGTAATAATAGTATAAATTATGATTTTATGGATAATTAAATTCAATAAATAATTAATATTTTAAAATTTAAATATTTTACATGTTATATAAGTATTTAAATAACTAAGTATTTTAAATAACAAAATATTTAACATAACTAGATTTTAAATAGTTAAAATAAAGAAATTATGTAATAAATTTAATAAAATTCTAAAAAGTAGAAAAATAATTATAACATAACTGGTGGGATCGCTAAGAGCCGTAGAGACCCCTTCAACCCAACTCAGAGACACCCATTTCTAGATTTAGAGAAAATAAAGAGATTGGATGTAGTAGAATACATATAGGGATGTAGTAGAGCCCAATGTATAATTGGACGGTAGAAGGTTGGACCTTCTAAATAGGGGTGGCAATTTTACCCACAAGATTGGGTCCCCAATCTGACCCGTTCAAAACAGGGCGGATTTTCCTCGGTCACAAATGCATACGGGTTGGGTTCAGGGAATTTTCTTTTGCCCCAAATCAGGGATAGGGTGGTGTACCTGTTCATGGGTCGGGTAGCCCGAGGGCCCAACTCGGCCTGGCCCGCACCCCAGTCGGGCTTGGTCATGTAATTAGTCCCGCAGGCCTGACCTCGGGCCTAACACAGTAAGCCCAACTGTGTTTTGGGTCGGGCTCAGGATTTGTCAAAAAAGCCCAGCCCGATTCAACATTATATATTTTATAAAATATATAATATGTATTTTATATATTATATAAAATATATAAATAATATAATATTTATTAAAATATATATTTATAATTTAATATATACATTTTTTATTCTTTTCTTTATAATTTCTCTCACTCACTCTCTCTCTCTCTATTTAGCGGCTTCAGCAATAGTAACAGTATGGGCTAAATTTCGGGCTCGGGCCTAGGCTCAGACTTCGGTCTTTTTATAGGTCCGGGCTTGGGCCCAAATTGTAGGCCCGATGGTTGGGCCGGGCTCGGGCTCGGGCTCGGGACTTAGAAAAATCTGTTAATACAGTGTGAAAGTCCGACCCGATCCCGGCCCGGCCCGACCCGACCCATGAACAGGTCTACGGGGCGGGGATGGGGTCTTCCTATAAATCCCCGAACCTGACCCGACCCCGGTTGTTATTTACAAATTTACTCTTATATATATACGTGTGTTTTTTAAAACGTATTAGCCCTAATAGGAGTTATTTCGTTCGGTGTTTAGTGTTTACTGTTTTTCGTCTTCCTTCAACTGTTCAACAGTTCACCCTTCACAGAATCGCAGTTAGCTATAGTCTAAGAAACTCAGAGTCCTTTAAGTCTTCAACCTTCGCAAACCGCCGACCGTCCGGCGCTGCCGCCACCGTAGCACAGAGGAAGCGTCGGCTGCCGACCACCGTAGCACAGAGGTGCATCTAAATCTGCACTCTACAATCCTTCAGTCCAGTCTTCGACTCTTCATCTTCGAGACTTCTTACCTTCTCAGTCTGCATCTGCAATCTTCCTTCGATCTTTCTTGCTCTTCATTTGTCTGTCGACCGCCGGGCACCGCCGCCGAAGTAGTAGCAGACTTCCCATTCTTCCTTCATTCTTTTGTGTTTCTCGGTAGTCGGTACTCTCATTGTCCATTCGTTTCTACATTACAGATTTACAGTTTGTTTTTTTCTTATCACACAGCCGAAAATGAGCTCAAGGAAAAAATCACACGTCTTCCTTTCTCTCACTGACTGACTCCCTCATTCCTCTTCAACTTTTCACATCCCTGAAGCATGTAAACTATGTAATAAGATACGGTAAAACTAAAACAATGCATGCAGAGCTCCTTCTACAAAAACTAAACTTCAACTGTTCAGGCAGTAACCATGGGAATAGTCGTTCCCTTGTCTCCTCTATGGGCTGCAGAGTGCGGAGTGCCCCCTGCTAAAATGGTAGCATGTGCTTGATCTACAATCTGTAGAATTTTCATAGATAATGAGTTAAGAAAGCAAATATTTTACAGCAACAAGCATGTGGTAAATGCAGCAATCTGCAGACAGAACCTCAGAGAAAATCTTCTCTCCAGCAAGAAGAACATATTTCAAATATCCTTCTTGTTGTCCAGGGTAACTGGATTTTTCCTTGAGCTACAATATGGTTAAAAGTAACAATATGTCTTAAGCTACTCTCTGAAATCCCAACTGCTAGATCTATAGATTCCCATTATAGGCTGTGAATGAAACCAATTCAATTACTCTCTAAAAAGTTGAATGGCATGTGATTGCCAATTCTATCTGCTGATGTACAGGGTAATCTGCTGCATTAAAAGACAGGATAATCAATACCTTGAATTTTTTTGTTTCTTAGTTCATTTGCTGGTATATAGAGCAATTTTTGCTTCTGATGTACAGGGTAATCTGCTGCATTTAAAAACAAGATAATCAATAAAGCTTTCCTTTCCATTAAAAAAATCTGCTGCCCGGGCCATTCAAGTTTTAATTTGGTTCCCCTATAGAAAATATATAAATGTTGAGAATCCCTAGAGTTTAAAGAAACTTAAAAAGATGCTATTAGAGTCTTAGTTCTTAATAGATTTTAATCTATCCAAGTTGATGATCAATTTAAGGGAGACGACTAAAGAAATATAATTTCAACATTATGCTTGGTCATGCAAGAAATAAAATTTCTACACATTGCTTATTTCCATTCACAAAGAAGGAGAGTGACACTTCATCTATCCATCTGTTTCCAGACATGAGTGATGAAAATAGGAATGGATCACATTTTTCCTTATACTAACCCTTTTTAGGGTTTAGGGTTGGGTTAGGCCGTTAGGGTTAGGTTTATTTGTCTAACATTTTTTAACTACTTATAAAATATATTTTTTTCTTTAAGGTTAGTCTTGAATTTTGATGTCTTGAATCAAGTACCACAACTTTAGAGGCACCATCTAAAAGAGAGTCATTTCTATTGTATGGGAACATTTTAAAAAAGTAACTATTGATGGACAAGTCAATACAGTTTGTAATTACTTTAATAAGAAGCTTGGTGGGGAATTAAAAACTGGAACTAAACATTTGCACGAGCATTTGCATAGGTGCCCAAAGCGTAATTAACAGGATATAAGGCAACAATTTTTTGGGGCAAGTCAAAATAAGAATGATGAAAAGTTTAAAGTCACATATAACACATTTGATCTAGAAAACTCAATGGGAGATACTTGCTAATATGATCATTCTACATGAGTATCTTCTCTCTATGGTCAATCACATTGGACTTAGGATGTACTCATATAGTCTACAACCTACATTTATAGTGGTTTCGAGAAATACAATTAAAAAAGATATTCTGAAGATTTTTGAGCAAAAAATGAAAAAGACAATTAAGTTGTTGGAGAAGAATGAGAGCATAATAGCCATCACAACTGACACGTGGACTGCTAATAATTAGAAGAAAGGGTTTATAGCCGTTATAGCACATTTCATTGATGTTGATTGGGTTTTACAAAGTCGAATTATAAGGTATGCATTTTTAATATAATAATTCATTAATAGTATAGTATTTAGTATTCTTGAGTAAGTTTTGCCATTTTTTATATTTACTTTTGTTGTTTAGCTTTTTTTTTCTATTTTATCTATTGTTATAGGTTTGTTTATATGCCTTGCCCACACACAAAAGATGTTCTTGTAGATATGTTAGTGGAATGTTTTTTAGATTGGAATATTGATAGAAAGTTATCTACAATTATCGTTGATAATTGCACTACAAATGATGTCATTTTCAATGATATTGTAGATAAGCTTTCTATGAATTCACTTATGTTGGATGGAAGATTCTTGCATATGCGTTGTTATGCACATATACTTAATTTGATTATACAAGATGGATTAGTTGTGATTGGAGATGCCATTGAAAAAATTCGTGACAATATTGTGTATTGGAAAGCAACCTCCAAAAGAGAACAAAAGTTTGTGGAAACATCCCAACTGTTGCAAATTCAAAGTAGTAAGAAGTTGTCTCTTGATTGTAAAACCATATGGAATTCAACATATGAGATGCTTCATACTGCTTTGATTTATAAGGATGTTTTATCTCGCTTAAGGCAACG